GAGCGCGGAGAAGAATCGCCCCGCATCGTCATTCCCCTCGGACGACCCCCACGCACTCGCGAACCTCCTCGCTCACCTCATCATTGGAGTGATCCCTGGTCGAAGATTGAGGAGGGGAATATACCACCAACTCCTCCGCGGGACTCACTTGGTCCAATCTCCCGCCCGGATCCGTTCGCTCGTTTCATTGAAGGCACCACGACCCCGCTCACCATCATCCCCGACCGTCAATTTCTCGCCCTCTACCTCACAACGGCACCCGCAGAATGGGAGACATCAACAGCAGCAGAAGCAGAAGAGCCGGGCAACGAAGCAGAACCAGGAGAAGAGGAAGAATCCCAACTCTAGATCCCGCAAGAAACGGAAGCAGAAGCAGGAGAATATTGCGCTCGCTACAAGCGCACCTCCGGCATCCGCGCGGAAGACGATCTCTGGCACCAGCGGTTGGGCCACCACTCACACCAGACTCTCGCCAACTGCCTCCGCGCTAAAGTTTTTCCGCCAGGAGCACTGCTGCGCCCCGACGGAACAGAACCACATGACACCCCACACCCGACCACTTGCACCGTCTGCCCCACAGCTGCGCTCTCCCACAGCTCCTACCCCTCTCTGGAACCAAGTACCAACCGTTACAAGAAACTAGAGAAAGTATACAGCGATTTCATCGTGCTCACCTTCGACGGCATCAACGACGAAAAATATACTCTCACCTTCATCGACGCCTACTCATGTCACGTGTGGATCGCCAACGTCGACGCCCACTCCAAGGCCCCAGAAGTCTTCCGCATCTGGCTCGCACACGCGCAACGTCAATCAGGGAGGAAGCTGAAAATCTGGCAGAGCGACGGAGCCAAGGAATTTCGCAGCAACGAACTGGAGAGCGTCCTCACTGAGAAGGGGATCAAACACGAGATTTCTCTCCCCTACGCTCATCAGCAGCAAGGCATCGCAGAGCGGGTTAACCGCACTCTCATGACGAAAGTCCGCGCCCTCATGAACCAGTCCGGCCTACCCAAGAAGTTCTGGCCCTATGCCATGAACCATGCGGTACGCCTGCACAACCTACTCTCCACCACGGCCAACACGGACAACCTTTCCCCTCACATGAAGTGGACCGGCTCAAGGGGAGACCCCTCCATGTTAAGGGTCTGGGGGTGCATGGTACAATATCGGCCGACCTTAGCCACAACTGGCAAGTTCGTTCACCGCGCGCACTGGGGAATTCATTTGGGGCTCAGTCACGAGCACAAAGGCTGGCTCATCCTCGACATTGACAGCAAGGAGGTTGTTCCCACGCGTGACATTCTCTTCTACGAGCGGCTCACCTTGAAGCAGTGGATCGAGGACGAAAGTCGCAACGAGGCACGCGGCTACGTCAACAGCGGTCGCAGCTTCGCGTCCCCAGAAGACGAAGCGGCAGCAGCGGTACTGGATCGAGAGGACACTGACGAACATCCAAGCGTACCGCCTCGCCCACGGGACGACGACGACGACTGCGACGATGATCCCGCGCCAGGACCGTCATGACGCCAAGCTGAGCCAAGCACCACAGAGCCCGGCTACGAGAGCGGAGACGACGACGTGGTAGAAGTCACCATCACAGACACCACCAATGTCTCCGGCCTACAGCTTCTAGGCCTGCACACGTCTGTCACCACTCTCGCGCGGGCCGTGGAGCCGAAGAATCCTCGCCAAGCCCTAACTGGCCCTCATGCCAAGGAGTGGCGTGCATCGATGGATGCGGAACTACAAGCGCTGGAGTCTCAAGACACATGGGTCCTGGTCAATCGTGCAGCAGTGAAGGGGAGGAGGGTACTCAGCGGAAAATGGGTTTTTCGCCTGAAGACTAACGCTGACAGCACCATCGAGCGATTCAAGGCACGATGGGTCGTACGTGGGTACGATCAGCGCCACGGCATCGACTTCGACCAAACCTTCGCTCCCGTCAGTCGCCACACCTCTGTCAGAATCCTACTCGCCATAGCCGCCGCTAAGCATCTACCACTTTGACAGATCGACGTGAAGAACGCGGTCTTATACGCGTTGGTAGATGCAACCATCTTCGTGGAGCAGCCACACACCTACGGAGAAGGAGACCCCAGGGTCTGTCAGCTCAAGAAATCTCTTTACGGGATCAAGCAGGCGCCTCGCCTCTGGCAGCAGCATCTGCACAAAATTCTACTCGACATCGGCTTCAAGCAGCTGCCGCACGACCCGGGAATGTATCGCCTCCACTTCAGTGGCGACTACTTACAGTTTACGTCGACGACCTGCTGTACACGGGCACCTGCAACAAACTCCTTAATCAGTTTGAGGAGAACCTGGCGTAGCGCGTTGATATCACCATCAACCACAATGTGAAGCAGTTTCTGGGCGTGAACATCACCTACGCGCCAGAAGCAATTCACCTGTCAGCCTCCAAGTACGCAAAACAGCTGGGGGAACGCTTCAACATCTCACCCGCACCACTCTCAACTCCCTACCGTAACCCCAGCGCTAACTACAAACCGGACAACAAACCTCTGTCGCTCGCAGGACTCCAAATGTACCAGCAGAATTTGGGGTGCCTGCTATTCGCCTCTGTCACCTGCCGACCCGACCTTTCGTACATCGCTAGCCAACTAGCAAAGTACTCCCGCAAGCAAGTAGCTGAGAACCAGCTGGACTTGGAGCGCGCCTTGCAGTACTTCATTTCCACACCTGACATCGGGCTCTCCTACCCCATGTTGACGACAACTTCCTTCAATCTCAACGGCTACGTGGACGAAGATCATGCCGCTGACCCTGCCAATCGACGGTCCCGAACCGGCTTCGTTTTTCGCCTGGAACCAACAGGACCAATCTCCTGGAACTCACAGAAGCAAGAGCTTGTTGCTCTGTCATCAGCTGAAGCAGAATACATCGCCGCGACAGCAGCAGTTCGCGAAGGCCTGTACCTGCAGGAGCTGCTACTGGAGGCGACTTCGCCCACCTTTCGTCTTCATTGCGACAACCAGAGCGCCATCAGGATCGCGAACAAGCCAGGTTTCGTGAACCGCACGAAGCACATCGCGCTTCGCTATTTCTTCGTCAAGGACAAAATTGACCAGGGGAAAGTTGACCTCGCGTACTGTCCGACTACTGAGATGGCAGCAGACTTCCTCAACAAGCGTCTGCCACGTCAGCAGTACAAGCACTGCTCTAACCTCGCCGGAGTAGTCAGCTCCTCCTGCGCCCAGGAATGAAGGGGAGTGTTACGATATGAAATTACATGAGAAGGCATTCCTGTATGCTGCAGGAGCCGACTCTACCGAGTACGAAGTCGAGGAGTCAGAAGAGTCGAAGCGATGCAGCAACCGTCTGACCAAGACCGATGCAGGCAGAAACATTTGAAAAGAGCGGGAACAGGTTTGTAACGGGTTCCCGCGCCGCACGGTTTTTGAACTCGCTGCAATAAGGGAATGTACCCCTTAGAGTACATGGCTAGCTTAGGTCTTTTCGTATTCCTTTGTACTCTTATATAAACCCGATGTATGCATGCTCTTATTATCTCAGTCATTTACATTCACTCTGACCTAAGTTCACTACTTCCGCTGCAACACTACTCTGCGATCAACCTTGAGCGATCCTTCGCTAAGTCCCATTTGGGATTGTAACAGTGGGCTACGACCCAACCCACGTTTCTGTGTCATTTCCCGAAGTTCAGCTGCCCGGTGTCAACGCCATTCAATAGCAAAAATGGTTCAGTGCGCCTCAGAATTCTTTGTTTTCGATTTTTTCGGGCACCGTTTTACGCGGGAGTCAGAAATCCCAACCGAGTCGTTGAGTCCATCCGATTGTCAGATGCGAAGGCCTATTGGGTGCGACTAATGAATTTTTTACGTATTCTCTGGTCAGAAGGTCACAATCTGGTCGTAACTGTTGGGCTGAGAAAAGCCCTTAGGATCTTTGCAGGGGTGAATTCTGGGTAGGACTGATGTAATAGCGGAAGCGTTTAATGAAGTACTGTGAACCACCTTGCGCTATTATGTGAGGGCAAAGTAGATTGATTAAAGCAAGGAGATACAAGATTATATAAGAGTACAAGGAATACGAAGAGATACAGTTATAACTACTTTACTGTTGCTGTTGCGGTTCGATACAGTGACGACTCGGGCAACTGCTCTGTAGCGAGTCAGTTGTGTGTCCTTGCTGTCGCGCTGTATTTGTCAGGTCAAAGGTCGCTGACCTTTGACTTTCACGTAACCTCCAACAGTTACTTTCAACCTCCGAGGGTTGACTCGCCGGTGCTTCGATATGCTTCGCTTCGTTCATGCCTTAGTGTTTCGACACGACAGAGGCGCTTAAGATCAATTGTTTCCAACAATAACAGCTCGCTAGGACGCGGTGTCTAGAGTGGGGCAGTACCCCACTCTGACCACCATTCCGACCATTTTTTATCGTGGTGGGCAAACTTCGGTGTCGGGAAACTGTGGGAACGCCATCTGGGTCGCGCGAGGGTGAAGGGTCGAAATTTCAAAATGTCAGGATGCAAATAGTGTGTTTCGCTACAGAGATTCCAGTAGCTTTATAAAAACTAAGACAAACTGTGGCTCTTATAATCCGTAAGCCTTCAGGGGTGGGCTTATAATCGAGGAGCGGATAAAAGCGCCATATGCCAATTACAAGCGCCTGGGGCTTATCCCAGGGTGGCGCTTATATCCCGGGGGTGACGGTACTTGTTGTACAGTGCTATTTGACTAAAAGCTGTCTCAAGAGTTTTTCAATGGTTCCCTGACCCATGACAATTTACAAGGACCTCACACTGTACATCCCAAACCAATTTACATTACAGATAGTGCTGCGCACCAAATATATACCATCTCCTACCATCGCACGACATGGTTCTTACCATCGTCTCCGTGAGCAACAAGATATTACCCATAAGATAAACTGAAGTGGCAAGTCTCTCTGTCGCGAGAGGGGAATGGTTTGAGTCGGCAAACGACCAGCCTCCTGTACAGGTTCTGTTGGCACCACGGCTAATGAGGAGGCTGACGACGATGCTGATTGCCACTGAAAAAGCCATCGTGGCGAGGAGGGTCCAGATACGAGGGAAGTGGGGGAAGTGGGCGACGTAGGCAGATAAAAAAACTGATCGTCGTCTGAGTCGTCGGACAACACACATGGTAGCCCAAGCGGGCTGTGCCCTGTATCATTTCCCTCACCAGCCGCGATTTCCTTCCCTCCAAGTTCCACCCCCTCATGGCACACTCCTTCCAGTTTTTCTACATCATTTATGGTAGCAGTGGGCTTCCCTGACGCACAGCATGTTGCATCACACTCACTTTGCTTCTCATCTTGGCCCCTGAACAATGGGTTAAGCTCCAAACTTACATGACTTGTGCTCTCCCCATGCCCCTCCCAAATAACATTGTTTAGAGTGGCTGAACTTTCTGTGCTCGTCATGCTGCCAGCAGCAGCACCAACACCAGTTTCTCTGCACGATTCCTCTTCTGGATGTCGTAATTTGTTCGGTACACTGCCGCAACACCAGTCGTTGACCTCCCCATCTCGCCTCTCCTCATTCATCAGACCATCCCCGTCTTCAGACTCCTCCTCCTCTGCTTCCACATCGTCTCTCTCATCTTCCTCTCTGCCATCCACCACTCTATCAATCTCCTCTTCTACGCCGCTTTCACCGCTCCCTTCTCCGCCTGCCAGGGCTCTAAGGGCGCTCATCCGTTGACGAAGCACCGCCAGCATCCCCCCCAGCACCTCCCGGCGCTGGTCTAGTTCCGCCTCTACGGTCGACAAGACTGCAGGGACCTGTAGGGAGGGGGAACCGCAGGCGTTTGGAACGACAACCTTCCGTTCAGACTCCGCCACGTCCTGCCCCTCCCTCTCCGCAACAGCATCCCCAGCGCACGCCATTCCCGCGAGTTCCGCGCTGCTCGCGCCATCATCCGCGTTTTCGCAAGAGCAGCCCTCAGCCGCTGACATGGCAAGCGCTTCCCGCGCTGCCGTGGCCAACACGCAAGCAGGTGAGACCGCCTCGTCCATTTCCATCTCTTGATCGTTCCCCGCGTCCGTCCCGGTCACCGCTGCTGTCCTCCTGCTCTCCGCAACTATTTCCGAGAATTCTTTCACTTCACCATTACCAGCCACTTCACTCTCCGGCCGTTTCCCGGCTTGCCTCCTGGCTTTTCTTTCACCCGCCGTCGCTCCCGCCGAGTCGTCATCGTTGTCAAGTTCCCACTTCGGGAGCCACGCCCCCCCCCGCGCCATGCCGTGGCAGCGGCTGTTGCGGGTTGTGCCTGAAAGCGGCCGGCGCGGGCTGCGAAAGTCCGCGCCAGCGACGAGAGGCGAACGCGACGCGTCCGCTCGCTTCTTGGGTGGCGAGGTGACGTGGCAGTGGAAAGAGGAGAAGGAGACGGAAGGGAGGTTGTCGTGAGACATGTAGGGCTGAGTGGTCGAAGGCAGCTTCCTACTGCCAGATGTTAATTTCTATAACCCCGGCAAGCTACGCAACCCTGCTGTGGTTGGTTCTTTCTTACGTTCTTTACGTAGGGATATTTTACCTACAACATTCTCTTGGCGTGCGTCTACAACTAATGTTGTATGGTATTGTGCGACAGAGGTCGAGAGCACAAACACGCACTTCTTGTTCTGTTACTGAATCAAGCAGAGTGTCATAAATGAGGGAAAGAGAGACATAAATGAAGGAGAAGGGAGGTGGAGAATGAGGGATGTGTAAGGCATAGGAATCTGCAGAAGGCGCAAAATGCAGGCCTCTTCCAACCAACCAAGCATGGCGACGAACAGCGTTTTCTGGCTTGTTGGCAGTCAGTCGCGTGGCGGCTGGCCAAGAGACCGAGCAGCCTCTTCTGGTTCCCATACCCACCAAACCACTGGTTCGGCAAAGGTTTGGTTTATGCGCCGAAAACTGCGCGCGCGGCGATGGTCTTTGCGCCAATTCAAGGCAAGCCACAGAGCAAACCCAACCAGCACACCGAAGTCGGTGGCATCGTCCAGCGAAGCGAAGGCCCTTCGGTTGTCCAGTACTGTACTGTAATTGAGATGTTTCGCAGTCAGACTTTTCTTTCATGTTGGCCACCTGGTCGATTGTCGGCAAGTTGATTGAGGTTTGATGTTTAGATCTGAGCCATTATCTGATATAGTTCCAGCAGAAGTGTCGCCTAGTTCCAGTGTTTTTGTAGGACTTTTCATGTTTTAGTCGAAATCAAATATAGGTAAGAATGAAGTATCCACAACATGAACCACCTACATGCTGTGGGTAAGCTGGAAAAACTATGCCCTTTTCCCCACCAGCTCCCACACGCGAGCCCAATGTACAATCCTCTGCACAAAAATCCCTTGTGAAAACATAAGGGTGGGTGATGGCCTTCGGTGTTCAGAAGGCTGTCCCTTACCAGGGCGTTCTGAGTAAGCTTTAATGAGAAGGTGAGTGCCACATGGACATGCCACCAAACTTGACAGCATACTTCACAGGAGCAGCACCTTCCCCAGCTTCAGGAGCAGCAGAGGCTTTCAAGTTCCTCCCAGAGTAACCAGAGGAAGGAGCAGCAGCAGCAGAGGAAAGGCCATGGGCATCATCTGATGCGTCTTCCAGGGGTGTGAGGTCAATCTGCTCTATCTTAATCCCTGCTGCGTCCATGCTCTGGCACAGGTCGTCGAGCTCTGCAGTGAGTAAAGGTGAATCGGGAAATATGAGGAAAAAGAAAAGCAGCTTTTGAATGTATTGTCTTGCACGCATATAAACGATTGTGTGCAAATCTGCTTATGAGATTAGTTTTCTCCCCCCCTCTCCCTTCCTGCTTTCACCTTTCTCCATTTGCTTGCCCGACCACCTTACATTTCTCCCCAATCTCCCTGTCCCTCCTTACCTTGCCAGTTGACGCCGCCGTTTGATCCCGTGTCTTCACTGCCGTGCGTAGAATCGCGAGCAGGGCTGCAGTTGGAACTTCGCGAGTAGCCAGCGAAGTTACCACTCGACTGGCGACTGTTAGAGCAAGACATCGCCATGCGACTGATGGCGGGTCGCGCGGCTGCGGGACCTGCACCCATAAACGGTGGAACGAGCGAGACGGAGAAGAAGGGGACTATTTAGTACACTTCGACTGTGGGAGGAAGGGAAGGCGGAGCGGTGCGACGGCCATGGGTGCGTGAGGAGAAACCGGGGGAAATCACGAGTGCATCAGTCGCAAAGCAGAAAAAAATAATAATAATAATAATAAAAAATCAGGGAACAAAAACAACAAAAGGAAAAGGAGGGGGCAGGGGTGTGGGGGACGGTACCTTGGTAGGCACAGGACCCGCTATTAGCGCGCAGCAGTTGCTCCCTCAGCGATGCATGAAGAGGAACCGCCGAGGGTAAGATTCCGCTCGCGCCACTCGCAACAGCGGTCGACTCCTTTCCTATCATTCCGGTACTAGCATACGCGGTTGTAGCACCAATTGCGCTGAACCCCGAACAGGCAGGCCCGGATCCCACGCCGCCGGCCCCGGCGCCGTAAAGCACGTCGGCTGGCAGCGGGCATGACGACGTGCTCTGCAGGGGGCCGCTGTTCAACGGACTCCTGTGCAACGGCGAGCTACCCGCCGACGATAGCGACCCCGGCGGTGAGCCGCCGCAAGACCCGGCGAGACCCGCGGCGGTGCTGAGGACCGATGACGCGGCCACGTCGTGCTCGCTGGCGCTGGCGCTGCTGGTGCGGGAGAGCGCGCGCCAGTCCTGTGGCGCGATGGGGCACACCGCAGACGACATCGCCGCTTCCTCCTTCCAGTTGACGGCGGGGATCGGACACACCGACTCGCTGCTCAACGGCTCTCCTCCCAGCCCCCCGTCGCCTGTCACAGCGTTACGCCGCCCGCCGAAGGCCGCGTGGGCAGGCGCGGAGCCTGTCCAGCTGGCACCGCGTGCAATGGCGCGCGCAGTTCCGCGCACGGGGGCCTCCGCCAGGGCGTCGTCATCAAGCAGCTCGTCCTGCTGGTCCGCGGGGAGCCACGTGGGGCGGCGGGGCTGCATCTGGAGGAAGGTCGGCGCAAATGATGGACCGTTGAGGGACGAGTGCGCCTGATGCTCCAGCGGAAGTTGGGTTTCACTTGCATCCCCCGAGGGCGGAAGTGCTGATGCTTGGTAAAAGCGCGAAGGCGTGCCCAAGGCGGACCCGCCAGGTGAGGAAGATTGAGAAGGAGGCGAACCGGAAGGGGAGGGCTGGTGCGCAGGGTAGCGGTGTTGTCGGGCGAAGGTAGCGGAGGTGGTGCTGGAGCGCATCATATCGGCGGGCGACGCGAGCGACGGCCCTGTGCGGTGGTCAGAGCTGGACGGTTGTGATGATACGCAGAGAGCCATGGTTTACGCGAACATTCGACAAAGAGATTGATTGGAGAATTGAGCGTCGCTCAACTATGCAAGTGCGGAAGTCGCGCGCGAGACTGGCTGGAACGAGAATTGAGTTTATTTTCTAAGAAGCTACGACTCAATTGATGTGTGCAGGTATTTGCGAGAATGATCGAATGGTTGAGCTGACTCAGGATGGTTCGGAGAAGTTGAGATTTGTCGGTCAGGAGAGAAGCAGCTTGGCGAAATGAGCTGCACCTGGCGTTCAGGATGCAGATTGTGGTGACCCACTGGCGCCACTGTGGAGAACACGTGGAGAAGGCAGTCAGAGCACGGGAGTAGGAGGATTTCATTGTGAGGCGAGTGGGTGGGCAGGTGCTGCCCTGTGATACGCTCGTTGACAATGGCGGGTAGGTAAGGGTCGAAATGAGTGTGTAGTAGGACTATGAACAGATCGCGACGGGACTTTGCCATTCATTCAGGTAACGTGAGCGCATTGCGATTGGGGCAAAACAACCAGTTTGCGAATCACAATGTTGGAAACCATTCTATTTCACGCCACCCTGACCGTGTGTTGTAGTGTGCGAAAAAAAATCCCTGCACCCCAAAGTCACGAATGCAAAATGCAAGGCAAGGGTCCATTTGAAACACTGGCCGTGAGGTCGTTCAGTCTTCATGCGATTAGCGGTTTAGGGATTAGCTGTTCATGCGACCATTAATACTGTAGTACATTTAGACACGCTTCGAAACGCAGGGACACGTTCTGCAATGCTTCTATTTTTCAAACGGATAGGGAATGAACGAATTGTGGGCGCGGCTCGGGCTGGGACGCTCTTGGCTACATGTGAGGATAATTTGCCAAATTATGCAGGTCAACATGGGGCTAGACACAAGAAACCCAACATCACATTCAAGACAGTAAGGAGAGAACCTTCTTCCTTGGCTGATACAGTACAGTACAGTTTCATCAGAAGCCCCTCATCTGGTGCCAACACTAATTGTGCGACGTTGAACTGTACAGTGTACGACGTTGGGCTGCTGTTTAATCTGAACTGCGTACCCTTTCGATTTTCGTGATCCTGCCCAAAAGGCATCCAAGTCACAAAAGAAATTAGTGGAAACTGTCCTATCAAAACCCGCCATAAGAACCCACAGACATGAAACGACTTGAAACGCGTGCACTAAAAATGTTGCTGCTGATTTGTCTGCGACAAAAGCAGCTTCCGTGCGCTGGCAAACCGCCTATCTGAACAGAGGCGGCGTGCTCGGCTTGTATGCAACGGTCACGGCTCATGCGTCAACCGAGCTGCAAACGAATTAAATGTGGTTTACGGAGGGTTGTCGAATCCAAGGCAATTGCCCTCAATAGCCGTGAGGTTAACAAAAAAAAACGCTTCTTTCTGTTGATTCTAGGGATAATTTCACGGGTAGCCCTGATTGTAGACTCGAGTAATCGGAAAGGTCTCTCCTTGATCCCCCGCCCGACCCCCCCGCCCCGTCCCCCTTCTCCTCATTAGCGCATCCTCTTGGTCTGGTGTGAGTTTCCGATCCCACTATTCCCTTCAATGCGAATCATCGACACGAGGTGTTCGGGAACCACTGTGTTGCTTTGCCAGATCCATACCATCTCATCCCACCATCCACCAAAGGCTCTTCCCCTACCCACACAACCCATCCATCCCATCGTGAGTGTGAGGGCCCATGACGATGACTTGGATTACAGGATTGTTGGCAAAATATCTTTTTTTTTAGATCAAACATGTACTGTACTGATGAAGGGCTAAGAGTTGTTACTTTTGAATTTATGTGTTGATGTTTGGGCAAGGTTTGGGCAACCTGCGCAGGACCTACGGGCAAGTGCGGCACCAAACCAATCAACAAACAAATAATTCTACTCACGCGAATCGTGGGATGGTATAAAAGTGCGGCAAATCTATCCCAGATGCGAATCGGCACCACACCTCACACACACATATCCAACGTGACGCGATCTGAATGGCTGCTGAATCCCTAATGCGCTGTGGTGGTGGTGAGGTGAAATGCGTCAGGCAGCCTGGGGTTTCCATGGCGCACGCAATAGAATCCTGGTTGCGTTGGACATTTGCCACCTGTCAGCTAGTCCATTCCACACACTATCAGGTGGTTGCTGACGAGGATTCCCATGAAAATCAGACTGTTGCACCCAGTTCTATAGATTCTCTAGAAACAACATTTCACTTGTTAATAAAAAATTCTCTAGTGTCACAAGAGTTGGATGAGCAGATATGTTTGTAAGCCTTTATTAAAAGGCATATATAAACCTGGCGTATTGAGTGAAATCACAAATAAGGGGATTGACAACTATCAGACATTGAGTGAAATCACAAACATACAAACGAGGGACCATGCAATATATTAAAGTATACTTCAACATTTGAAGTTGGGTTGTCCCCTTAGGCAAAATAGTGACCCCCCCTCTTAGTTGGGTCCATTAGAAACTTGAAACATACTCTGTGCTATTTTGGAAAGTTGAAGTCTTGACTTGTGATTTTTTTTCTTCCCCGTCTGTCATTTCAATTTCGATACCCTAGGCGTCGCAAACATGTGCAAATGTATCGCAAGGAAGCATGTGCAAATGTATCGCAAGCAAGCATGTAAAAATGTGTCACATCGTTGAGACATGCAATTCTCATTGTGCAAGAGTGACAAATTCACATCGAGGGGTAGCATGTGCAATTTGTCAAACTATATCTGTGCTAGTTCTATGTAGGCTATAGTGGGGCAGCCCATATGGCGTACAACCCATATGCCCATACTTGTACCCACAACTCATTCAATGCAGTCATTCCTGCTCGTTAGTTTGTGCCATGGTTTCAGAGAAGTAGGTCCGTAGGACCGTTTTTTTTTCGGGCCCACCATTACCTACCGTATTGACCGACTGCAGTTACCGCGTTACCCCACACTTTGCTTTGCGCTGCGCCTATAGCGCGCGCCCTGCCCTGCCTTGCCTTGCGTCGCGCTGCCCCGCGCACGCCCTGCCCCGCCTTGCGTCGCGCTGCCCCGCGCATGCCCTGCCCTGCCTTGCCTCGCACTGCCCCGCGCACGCCCTGCCCTGCCTTGCGTCTCACTGCCCCGCGCACGCCCTGCCCTGCCTTGCGTCGCGCTGCCCAGCGCACGCCCTGCCCTGCCCCGCGCGCGCCCTGCCTTGCCCCGCGTCCTGCTACAGCTTGTGCCCTGCTGCCCTGCGCGTCGCGCACTGCTGCAGCCCGCGCGTCGCGCCTTATTGCCCCGCGCGTCGCACCCTGCTGCAGCCCGCCTTTGCGTCCTGCTGCCCCGCGCGTCGCGCCCTGCTGCAGCCCGCGCGCCGCGCCCTGCTGCCTGCGCGTCGCGCCCTGCTGCAGCCCGCGCGTCGCGCCTTGCTGCCCTGCACAGCGCGCGCCCTGCTGCCCGCGCCGCCCAGGCCGAGTCGCGCCGCCCAGCACGCGCCGCCCTGCCCAACCCGATCCACCCTGCTGTTGCTGCTGCTGGTGGAGGTACTGCTCTGCTGCTACTCGTGCTACTGCCTTCACTCCGTCCTGCCCTAGATGTCACGCTCCTCCTAGCTTGCACGCCATGAATTCACTTCGCAGCAGCAGTGGGAGTGGTGCCGGCGGTGGTGGCAGCAGTGGGAGTGGTGGCGACCGTAGTAGCAGTCACTGTGGCGCTGTTCGGTGCGGAGTTTCTGGCGGTGCCCAGATGCAACTACAGCGGCGTCCAACCCTTACGCCCCGGCAACTTTGTGAGTGGCTTTACCAGCGTGGGACGTCTCTGAGTCCTGGTCGCTGCCCGTACGTCATTCGCACAGGCCATCGAGCTGGTCAGACCTGTGGGACACCTGGTCACGCACAGTCCCACTGCTTCTCCTATTTGAGTGACGTCTGGCACGCAGAGTTTGAAGACGAGGCTGAGATCCCCCACTGGCTTGAGCTGCTTGAGTTGGGCGTTGATGTCTTTGCTTTAGACTATGACGCCATCCTTACTGCCATGTATGCTTTGCCTGGTGGTGCTGAGGGTGACTGTTACCTGTGTGTGCAGCACGACCCCGGTATAGAGGCTGCTGCTCTAGGTGCTAGTAATGCTGCTGCCTTAGGTGCTAGAGAGTCTGCTCTCTCAGGTACTGCGCCTACTGAGGCCTTGCACACCTTCACACTTGAATCAGGTGCTTCCCGCTGTTTCTTTCGCGATAATACCGCACTCACGCCACTTCCTGCACCTGATGCAGTGTCTCTAGCCGACCCCTCAGGGGGTCTAGTTCTGGCATGGTCCACCACTGTGCTCCCGTGCCCGGTAGTTCTGTCTGGCTCACTGGCAGGCCTCCACCTCCCCTCGTTCTCTACGAACTTGGTGAGCAACGCAATTCTCCAGGACCAGTGGGTTGACACCTTTACCCCTGGAGGACAGCGTGTGGCAATCTGTACGTGCTCCCGGACCGGCCGCCACCTGGCCACGTTTACCCGTCGGCCAGGGTCGAGTCTTTACACACTAACGACTGCGCCTCCTTAGGTAGCTACTACTGGTCAGGTGTGTGTGTCAGTTCAGGTAGCCTCCCCTTGTGAGTGTCGCTCCCTGTTGCACCAGACTCTTCTCTGGCACCACCGTCTGGATTACCCCTCCTTGCCACGTCTACGTGGCATGCACCGTCGCCTCCTTGTGTCTGGTCCTCCCTGGTCTCTCCCTCCCCTTCCTGCCTCCCCTGCGCCGCCCTGCCTTCCTTGTGTCGAGGGGCGACAGCGCGCCGCTCCTCACCCCTCCTCGTTTCCCCTGACAGAGGCTCCCCTGCAGACCCTTCACATGGACGTGTGGGGCCTAGCCCGCGTTCGTGGACTGGGCGGCGAGCGGTACTTTCTGCTGGTTGTCGACGACTACTCGCGTTACTCCACGGTCTTCCCCTTGCACACCAAGGGTGAGGTCCCTGCTGTCCTGACCCTTGGATCCGAGCAGTTTGTCTCCAGCTCCTCGAGCGGTTCCGCGAGGACCTCCCTGTCCTGCGTCTGCACTCTGACAGAGGTGGTGAGTTCTCCTTCGACCTCTTGCGGGCCTTCTGTCAGAAGGAGGGCATCGAGCAGTCGTTCACGCTTCCGGGCTCACCACAGCAAAATGGGGTTGCTGAGCGCCGCATTGGCTTGGTCATGGAGATCGCTCGTACCTCTTTGATCCCTGCAGCAACTCTCCATTTTCTATGGCCGTTTGCGGTCCGGTACGCCGCGCAGCAGCTCAACCTCTGGGCCCGTGTCTCCTTGCCGGAGACCTCGCCGGCACCGCGTTGGACGGGAGAGGTTGGCGATGTGTCGGTGTTCCGGGTCTGGGGTGCTCGTACCCTTGTCCGTGATACGTCCGCGGACAAGCTCTCCTCCCGCACCATCCCCTGTGTCTTCCTTGTCTTTGTCCTTGACGCGCCTGGCTGGCAGTTTTACCACCCCACCTCGCGCCATGTCTTCCCCTCTCAGGACGTCACTTTTGACGAGACAGTTCCTTTCTACTGTCTCTTCCCCTACCGCACTGCCCCTCTCCCTCCCCCACCACTTTTTCTCGCTCCAGGTCCCCCTCAGGTAGACCCCCTCCCCCCTCAGGGTCCTGCCCCTTCAAGTGTGTCAGGTAGACCCACTCCCCTTCACTGCCCCTGTAGAGGTCACTAGCGACTCAGGTGCTGCTGCGGGTGGTGCTGCTCGGGGTACTGCGTCTGGGAGTGCTGAGCCTGTGCGTGAGGTGCTGGGGGGTGCGGAGCCTGGGGGTGCTGAGCCTACGAGTGCGGAGCCTGGGGGTGCTGAGCTGGAGGGTGCTGAGTCTGGGGTTCTCTCTTCACGACGGGGGCCTCTCTCACCACACCAACTATGAGAATGGCTGGCGCGTGGCGTACCCGCCTGAGGAGTGGTGCTGCTGGTGCTGGAGGTACTGCTGCTCGAGGTGCTGCGGTTGGAGCTGCTGGAGTTGCTCGTCCTGGAGGCGCTGGGGGTGCTAGCGCTGAGGGTCCTAGAGGTGCTCGTACCAGAGGTACTCGAGCTGCAGGGGTCCGTGGTGCTGGAGGCACTGGAGCTGGAGACCCGCGCATGGGAGTTCGAGACCTTGGAGCTGGAGGTGCTGGCCCTCGAGGTGCTGGCCCAGGGGTACTGAGTCTGTTGGTGCTGAGCCTTGGGGTGCTGAGTCTGCTGGAGGTCCTCCTGGTGCCGTGTTGCAGCAGTCACCTCTCTCGCCGCAGCAGCTGTGCGAGTGGCTTGCTTGGCGCACCCGCCTTCGGAGTCGCGCGGCCAGAGCTGGAGGCACTGGAGCTGGAGGCGGTGGAGCTGGAGACCCTGGGGCTGGAGGTGCCGGTTCTAGTGGTACTGCTACTGGAGGCACTGGAGCCGGGGGACCTGGAGCTGGTGCTGTCAACCCTGGAGTTGGAGACCTTGGAGCTAGAGGTGCCGGTTCTGGGGGTGCTGCTGCTGGGGGCACTAGAGCTGGAGGCCTTAGAGCTGGTGCTGTCGACCCTGGAGTTGGAGACCCTAGAGCTGGAGGTGCCGGTTCTTAGGGTGCCGCTGCTGGAGGCCCTGGAGCTGGAGGCTCTGGAGCTGGTCCTGTCGACCTTGGAGTAGGAGACCCTGGAGCTGGAGGTGCTGGTTCTGGGGGTGCTGCTGCTGGAGGCCCTGCGGCTGGAGGTTCTAGAGCTGCTGGAGGAGCTGGTGCTACTTGTGCTCGTCGTGGAGGTTCTGGAGCTGCTGGAGCTGATGGTGCTGCGGGCTTTGGAGCTGGAGGCGCTGGCGCTGGAGGCGCTGGAGTTGGAGACCCTGGAGCTGGAGGTACTGGAGTTGGAGGCACTGGAGCTAGAGGCGCTGGAGCTGGAGGTTCTGCTGTTGCTGGAGGTGCTGGTGCTGGTGGTACTGGTGCTGGTGGTACTGCACAGCCGCGACTGTTCTTCGCTCCGCCGTCACTATCATCTCTGCCACCGCCTGACTCTGTGCTTCACCAGGTTCTTAGCCTCCCGTCTTCTACTGGCCTCCCATTACAGCCAGGCTCTCCACTGCTTGCTCCTTCTCCTTACACTGGGCAGACAGACTCGCGTATAGAGCGCCGTGAGCCTGCGTCTCGTCCTGCCTCGCCTGTTCGCGCGCGTCGCACTGGTAGTCGTGTTCCTCGTAAGCGTCCGCCTCCTGTCCCTGGCACACACGGTATGGCACTTCGTCCTTCCTCTGTTTCACAGCGTGTTCCCCTGCCGTCTCCTCCTGCGTCCTCTCTTCCGCACGTTCAGGACCCTGAGTCTGACTTAGGTCGTGCTGCTAGCCCTACTGTCACCCGTCTCTTGGCCACTGCTGTTACTGACCCTTCATTTCAGTCTGGTGCTGCGTCTGCCCTAGTTGCTGACCTGTTGACTTTGCTGCTTGCTTTCGTCTAGACTATGCCACTAGTCTTGTTGTTGAGTCTGAGTCTGTCTGTCCTCCGTCCGTTGGGGGTGAGTGTGCTTTTAGCACGGATGCCCTTGAGGACAGGCAGGAGGACTTTGAGTGCTTTGGAGCTGCTGTACCTCATATCGTGTCCATGCTGATTGCACCTGAGGGAGACCCGGATGCACCAGACATCCCGACCCCGCGCTCTTACGCAGAGGCGATTGAGGGTCCCTAATCCTCTCAGTGGCAGTCAGCCATGGATGCAAAGATGGCATCCTGGAAGTCCACAGGCACTTACATCGACGCTGTTCCCCCACCTGGGGCGAACATCGTCAGTGGCATGTGGATTTTCAGGGTGAAGTGACCGCCGGGTTCTCCGCCTGTCTTTAAGGCGCGTTACGTTGCACGAGGCTTCAGTCAGAGACAGGGAGTTGACTTCTTCCACACCTTCTCCCCTACCCCAAAGATGACCACTGTTTGGGTTCTGCTGCACGTCGCCGCTCAGCGTGACTACGAGCTTCAGTCCCTTGACTTCAGTATTGGTTTCTTGTAGGGCAGCCTGCACCAGGAGATCTGGCTGCGCCGCCCACCTGGCTTCACTGGGTCGTTTCCTGCAGGTACCCTGTGGAGCCTTTGGTGGCCAGTCTATGGTCTCCGGCAGGCGCCTTGCGAGTGGCACGACACACTGAGGATGACGCTTGCGGCCCTTGGGTTTGCTCCTTCGACTGCTGACCCGTGGCTGTTTCTGCGCACCGACACTTCGCTGCCGCCGTTCTATATCCTCTTGTACGTCGACGACTTGGTCTTCGACAGTGCTGACACTGAGGGACTTGCCCACTTGAAGTCGGAGCTGCAGAAGAGACACACGTGCACATACCTGGGAGAGCTGCGCAGCTATCTTGGCTTGCAGATCACCCGGGACAGAGCACGCCGCACCATTATCCTGACTCAGTCACACATGGTGCAACAGGTCCTTCAGCGCTTCCGCTTCACGTACTCCTCGCCACAGTCCACTCTTCTGCCTACTCGTCACTCGCTCTCAGTTCTGCCTTTGGATGAGTCCGTAGAGCCGAGTGGCCCATATCCAGAGCTTGTGGGCTGCCTCATGTACCTGATGACCTGCACTCGTCCTGACCTTGCTTACCCTCTTAGCATTCTGGCACGCTACGTTGCGCCCGGGAGACACCGACCAGAGCACTGGGAGGCCGCTAAGAGGGTGATGCGCTACTTGTGCAGTACTTCGGGCATGGGGCTCGTGCTTGGAGGACGGGCTCGAGTTGTCCTCACTGGTCACGCTGATGCTTCTTGGGTTGACGACTTGGGTACGCAGCGGTCGTCACAGGGTTACACCTTCAGCCTTGGCTCCGTTTCGGTTTCTTAGCGGTCTACACGCTCGTCTTCTGTTCTCAGTTCCAGTTGTGAGGCTGAGATCTACGCAGGGGCCATGGCTGTACAGGAGTTACGCTGGCTAACTTACTTGCTGACCGACTTGGGAGAGGCGCCTCGTTCTCTTCCAGTTCTGTACGTCGACAACAAGGCCATGATTGCCTTGTGTCAGGAGCACAGACTGGAGCACAGGACGAAGCACATTGCTCTGCGTTACTTCCTTGCTTGAGAGTGGTAGCAGCGTGGACAGCTTCGTCTTGCTTACGTTGCCTGTCGGGCCAACACCGCAGATATCTTTACCAAGGCACTTCAGCCTTGCGATCATCGGCGATTCTGTACTATGCTAGGACTTGTGCCCACTTTGTCAGAATGTGATGTTTGTGTAGCCTGCAGTGGGGTACTCTATAGCGAGTACAGCCCGAATTAGGGTTTGCTATATGTACTCAGCTGCATGCTAGTGAAACACCTCTTTCCTGTTTCTGATTCTTGCCTAGCCTTTCGATACACTTGGCCTCACTTGCTCACCTCTTGACTTTGCTTGTACTGTGATCTATATTGCATACCTGCATGCCTACTCCTGCTAGGTAGTGATCACTGTACTGTTGTTGTTGCATATATACCTCTGCATATGAACTGGCCTTGTGGCCCTTTGCTTGTGCTCGGAGTGTGTGGTGACGTTGTGATCCACCCTGAGCTTGCTTTGCTTTTCTTGACTGGTCCTGTGATCCCTTGTTCTCCCCCACTTTGCCTATGGGGGTGTGTCAAATTATATATGTGCTAGTTCTATGTAGGCTATAGTGGGGTAGCTTATATGGGGTACAACCCAACGTTAGGGTTAGTACTTGTACCCAGAACTCATTCAATGCAGTCATTCCTGCTCGTTAGTTTATGACACAATTCACACGGAACAAATGCCATGGGGAAAAAAACGTACGCGGGGAAAAACATACGCGGGAAAAAACATAGAGTTCCAAGGTGAAGGGAAGGGACCAGAGGGAAGAGCAAGAAGGTGACGGGGCGAGAGGGGAAATGAGGACGGGAAGAAGGGGGAAAAATGAGGGTGGCTGGACGAGTGGGGACATGAAGGGGACGGGATTAAGCGGGGGACATGTAGGCGACGGGACGACGGATAACGTGAGGAGGGCGACGGGATGGGAGGTGAGAGATGAAAAGAAGATGAGAGGGCATTTTGTGGCGAGGTTGAGGCCGGCGAGGTGGGTGATGGGAAGGAGAGAGGCAAGGCGCAATTGGGCGTTTCAGGGCGAGCGCGAAGGCGACGGGAAGGGAGATCACGAGTGCGACGGGAACCATGGGATGGGCGAGTGCGAAAGCGCGGGAGCGGGAGGGAAGGCACGAGGGCGACGGGACGGGACGGGAGAGCGCAGAGGCGATGGGAAGCGAGGAAAGACACGGGTTGGGCGACGCGAGGGTGTTTCGGAAGGGAGGCGAGAGGAGTGAGAGGGAGAGGACGACGAAAATTTTGACGCTACGGGTGGGAGAGAGGTCGATAGGGACAAGTATGGTGATGTTGGGAGAGGGGGAAAAGAAAGCGAGCTCGACGGGAGTGGGGGGGAGAAAGCGAGCTCGACGGGAGAGGGGGGGAGAAAGCGAGCTCGACAGGAGAGTGGGGGAGAAGGGCGAGAGGAAGGGAGAGAGGAAGGGCACGGGTAGCGCGTTTGAGGGCGAGTGCGATGGCGACGAGGCAGGCGATGGGAGGAGAAAGTGGGTGGGGGATGGGAGGGCGTTTCGTGGCGAGTGGGAAGGCGATGCGGTGGGAGATGGGGGGTGTGAGAGGACGTGTGCATCGAGGGCGACGGGAAGGGAGCGATGAGAGAGAGAGCGACGGGAAGGGAGCGACGAGAGAAAGAGCAACGGGAAGGGAGGGGAGAGAGCAAGAGCAACGGGAAGGGAGGGGAGGGTTACAGAGAGTGACGGGGAGGGAGCGACGAGAGAAAGAGCATCAGGAAGGGAGCGACGGGTAAGGGAAGGGGAAATACGGGGGGAGGGAAGGCAATGGGAAGGGAGAGGCGACAACGAGGGTAATGGGAGGGGGGCAGAGAAATCGAGGGCGATGGGAGGGGAGCAAAGAACACCAGAAAGACGATAGGACGAGACGGGAAGGGAAAAGAAAAAAGCGACGGTACGGGAAGGGAAAGGACGAAAGCGATGGGACGGGAAGGGAAAGGACGAAAGCGACGGGATGAGAAGGGAAACTGGCGAGAGGAGAGAGATGGGAAGGGAAAGGACAAGGGCGACTGGACGGGACGGGAAAGGACGAGGGCGAATTGACGAGAAGGGAAATGGACGGGAGGAGAGCGGAGAAAATGAGAGGGACCGGCGGAGAACGGAGAACATGAGCGCGACGGGAGGAGAGCAGAGGAAGTAAGAGCGACGGGAGGAGCGGAGAAGGTGAGAGCGACGGGAGGAGAGGGGAGAAATTGAGAGCGACCGGAGGAGAGCGGAGGAAGTGAGAGGGTCGGGAGGAGAGGAGAAAGTGAGAGCCAAGGGAGGAGAGCAAAGAAATCGAGAGCGAGGGCCAAAGAACGTGAGTGTGAGAGTACGACCACTTTGCTGGACTTTAATATGCTATTACTAGCTTACCTTTATTTCATCTTGCATGCTTTTGCTAGATTTCCTAGGTTCGTTGCTTTTACTATAGTTATTATACTTATAGGCACCGAACAAGGTTGAGTGCACCAAATTCTAGGCTTTTCAGTTGCCACCGAATTGCCTTATACCGAATTCGGGAAGGACCCGTTCGGGACGCTTCGCGACCCGCGGAACCTTGTAGAAACACCCGGGTTACTGCCTTTGTGTCGAGCCTTGTGGAGATTAACTCTACAACGGTGGGAGCTAGACTACAGGGTGGGCACTGGTTGTAGGAGTAATCATAGCTCTGTCTGTGTTCTCTAGGACTTGTGTTTTTACAGGGCAAAACAGGAAGAGTTTCACTAAGGAATTTTGAGAATACAGAGTTCAGAATGTGAACAAGCAATGGAAAAGAATTGACTACATCACATGCAAGCTTTGCTAGTGCTCAGGCAGGTCGATCGCCAGCGTGACAAAGTTGTCGACCTGCCAACGTTGCATCTCCACGGCCCGCCAACGCAGCTTGTGTGCGACTTGCCAACGCTGCAGAATGGCGGCCTGCCAACGCTGCACCCGCGCAGCTTGCCAATGCAGCATCCGCGCGGCTTGCCAACACTGCATCCGCAGGTGATTGTAAGCGCATGTGCAAGCACCTACTTCGCAGGTGCTTATAGACAGTTATGCACGACGTGCACTGTCGAGCACATTGCGCAGGTTGTCAGCCACATGCTAACGGTTGCACCTGATGAGCCACGTCGACCACGAGCTGCCACGTCGGTCGACTTCGCCACAGCAACCTCGACGATGTTCGCACACCTTCGCGCACCTCGTCGAGAAGGTAACTTGGTCAACCAGGTGAAGTCTCTGACATCTCTGCATGATGATGACCTTCGTCATTACCGGTTGACGACCTTCGTCGTCGCGGGTCGACGACCTTCGTCGTCACGGGTCGACGACCTTCGTCGAGCACCTTCGTTGAACACCTCGGTTGACATTTCAAAATGTCAGCTTCTGATTGGTCGAAATTAGGGCACATTCGAATTTATGGCCAAAATTCGCTTGTGCAGTCTCAAGGTTGCGCAGGGTCAGACGCGACCCTGCGCAGACGAACACCCGCGAACCTCTGCACCTGCTGCGCCACTTGTACATACGCACAAGAAGTCTGTGTTGCACTCGCGGATGCTTCAATTACTCTTGCATGGATTCCCTAGCACACCTCGTGTACAGGCAACCCTCGTACACCTGCAGAAGGTCGGCTGCACCTCCTGCACACCTGACCACGAAGTCAGTTTTGCCCATGCGAGGGCGGGGCCAACTTCCTTCAACACTCCCCTGCCGCGCTCACGCTTGGGCACCCCACGCACAAGGTCCACTCATAACACAGGGGATAGAATACACTGGGAAAAATCCTTCGTCAGCGTGCACACAATACACAGCACGCTGGTCACCGCACCAGCCGTGCAGAAGGGCATGGCACCTACTGCTGCACATCGTCATCACCGTAGCAACGTCAGCCAGACGGACTTGGCCGATCGCAACGGAGCACCGGTTGAAGGCCGGAAAGGGCAGCCCCTTTGTCAGGAAGTCAGCCGGCTGCTCAGAGGTGGGGATGTACTTCAACGCAATCTTCCCACGCTTTACCATCTGCTGCAGCTAAGCATAACGTCGCTCCATGTGCTTGAGGTTGCCCTTGAGCCCCAAACCTTCCGCGACAGTGATGGCCGACTGATTGTCCACACGAAGGACAGACGGCGTCCGGGTCTAGCAGCTTGAACTCTGCAAGAAGGAAGCGAAGTCGACGAGTCTCCTTGCCAGCTTCCGTGGCCGCAACGTACTCCGACTCGGTCGAGGAGAGCGTCGCACACTTGATGCGCTGGCTCGACCAGGAAACTGCGGCCCCTCCGAAGACGAACTCATAGCCACCTGTGCTTGTCCGGTTTTGCTTGTTGCCTGCGTCGTCGGCGTCCACGTAGCCGACCAGGCACAGCGACTCTGGTCCACCGCCGAACTCCAAGGCGGTGTCACGAGTGTCGGCGAGGTAGTGCAGACAACGGTCGACCTCGCGCCAGTGGTTATCGCTCCGTACCGTCAGGCCACTTCCCAGCTTGCTGCACGCGAACGCGATGTCCGGCCTCGTCGTCGTCGCCGCGAATTGCAGCGAGCCAACCTTTTGCCTGTACTCTTCCTCCTCGCGCGCATGAGCATCCTTGTCATCGAATATCAGCTTCGCATAGGCGTCGACGGAGATTGGCGTCTTCGGGATGCGCCCAGTCTGCTCCTCGTCGATGAAACGCCTGCGTAGCTTGTCAATGTACGATTGCTGGTGCAGCCACAACTTCCTTGCCGACCTGTCACGGACGATTTCCAGCCCAAGGTACCTCTCGGCCGGGCTGATCTTGCGCAGCTCAAACGCAGCCTCTAGCAGCTCCTTCAGCTCCTTCAGCATTGCGAGGCTGCTGCTGGTGGCGAGCAGATCGTCGACGTAGACAAGCACCTAGCACATCACTCCTCCATCGCCGACCTTGAAGTAGAGAGCCTCGTCGACCTGGCTCTTCTTCCAGCCAGCACCCAGCAGCACTCCGTCTAGGGCCCTGTACCACAGCAGCGGTGACTGCTTCAGTCCGTAGAGACTCTTCAACAGTTTGCATACCCGGCCAGTTCCATCGTCATAGTAGTCTGGCTGGTACATGTACAGCACCCTGTCCAGCTTAATCTGCAGGAATGCATTCTTCATGTCAAGCTGCATCAGGTGCAAGTCGCGGTCAGCGACGATGCTGAGGAAGATCCTCAGCGTGACATAGCTGTTGACCGGTGTGTACATCTCTTCGTAGTCGGCGCCGTACACCTGCGTGAAGCCCTTCACGACCAAACGTGCCTTCTCACGAGTGACCGTATCATCGATGTGGTACTTCGTCGTCAGCACCGACCGGTTCTTCATGATGTTCACCCCGCGCGGACGTTCGACCAGCTCCCATGTGCCGTTGGCAATGAGGCTGCGAATCTCCTCGTCCATCGCCGCCTTTACCGCCTTTCCTTTCTAGCTCGCCAGAGCCTCCTTCACTGTCATCGTCGCGATGTCCCAGCGATGCTCTGGGTCAGCGTGCACGTCATGGTCAAGCTCGGGCAGGTCGACGTCGTCCTGCACATCGTCGAGCAACGTGCTGTAGGAGGTAGGGGGCAAGCAAGCATGGTAGCTCAGCTTTTTGCGAGGCTTGCCAAAGGTCATACGAGTGGAACGTCGCAGCGGAGGCTCGTCGGCTTTGACTTCCACCACATCGCTGTCAGTGGATTGCTCCCCTGCAGACAACTCCCCTTATTCGTTGTCAGGTTCACCAATGACCTCCACAACGCCACTCGATGAACCATCGTCGAGCTGCTCCCCTGTCGGCGGCTCCTCTGCAGACGCTTCCTTCGTCGACGGCTCCCTTGTCAACTGCATCTTTACCACCCGCAGCTCCCCTGCTGTCGAAGGCTTCGCACCCTCGTCCACGAGCTTGACATCACGTCGGCCGCTGGCGATGCCCCTGGACGGCGCCAAAGGCAACGTCCGCAGGCTCCCCTCATCGCCGGTGGCCGACGAAGGTGTCGGCTCAGGCAAGTCTGCGACAAGAGGGGGTGCAGCAGGTACAGGAGGGGAAGGAGAAGGTGGGACATCCTCGACGTCCTCGTCAGCAGCCTCATCAACTTCGGCAAGCAGTGGGAACGGCGCCGTCGAGGAGTCCGTCGGAGGGTGGGTCTGTGCCCGTGCCAATGCTGGCCCATGTGTCACCTTCCACACCTCCAGGGACATCGGCTCGTAGAAGATGGCCTCGACCGTCGTGAGCAGCTTGTTGTCTGTCAGGTCGAGCACCACCCATCCCTTGCTCTCCAGTGACACACCCAGGTGTAGCCCCCAACGAGCCTTCGCCGCCAGCTTCCCACCACGCTGCTGCTCGGGGACCATGAACTGCACCATGCAGCCCCACACCCTCGCCAGAGTGAGATCAGGCTTCTTGCCTGTCAGCAGCTGGTGCGACGTCGTCCCCGGAGGCAGCGTCGACCACTCCAAGCAGTTGCGCACCCAAACGGCCTGCCGCATGGTGAGATGCCACGAGTGGTGTTGCACGCCCATGTGCAGCAGCATCGTTCGCACAGCCTCGACGACCGTACGCATCTCCCTCTCCGCCATGCCGTTCTGCTGCGGAGTGTACGGGCAGGTCAGGTCGTAAACGATTCCTTTGCTGTTGACGAACTTGGTGAAGTCCTTCCCTAGGAACTCGCCTTCGCGGTCGGAGCGGAGCATCATCACCGACTTCTTGGTTTGCCTCTCCACGACCAGCAGCCACTGTTCGAACACATGCAGGACGTCGCTCTTCTTGGCAACCGGCCTCACCCACACGTAGCGAGTCTTTCGATCCTTCAGCAGGAGGAAGTAGTAGCTGCCATCCTTGGCGGCCACTCGGAACGGTCCGCACAGGTCGATGTGCACGACGGCCAAGGCCTCCTCCGCGTCCGAACCTTTCTCGGGGAAGGTGTGTCGTGCAAGTTTGCCACCTACGCAGGAGACGCACGGCAAGTTGGTCCCCGTGGAAGGCGTGATGTCCAGGCCAGTGGCGACATTGTGCTTCACCGAGCTCTTGATGGTGTCAATGCCAACGTGCGCGAGCCTTGCGTGCCACCTGGGCGGCGTCGACTTCATTGCCGAAGCAATCGTTCGCAGAGCCACCACCTCACTCGACTTCGATGACAGCTTTGTCGAGCTGGGTTGAAGGTTTGTGCAGAGGACG